CAAATGATAGGAAATCTCAATAAACGAACTAAACTTACAATGGAAGCCCCAATGCAAGCCGAGACAAAATGAGAGTATCACACAACTGTGTTTGGCCTAAAAATACATCATCGATGGCAAAATTTTAAAAATGGTCTACTATCTTGGCCATTTTTCAAAAAATATCCATCATATAGGGCGTCATCAAGAATGGTCAACTAAGTTGCCACTTTCATCAGAATTCATACAAAAACCAAAATAGTGTACTAGAAGTGATCTCCATTTTTAGTACACTATGTGGGATATTGTACTAGTTTTGATTAAAGTGGCAACTTAGTGGACCATTCAGTATTGATGACACTTTATATGATGGACCTTTTTTTGGAAAATGGTCAACATAGTGGACTAAAAATGAAATTTAGCCCAAGCAACATAACTAAAAGTAGTAAAGGAACAACTGAACCCTTCAAATACCAATTCAACAACCAAAACATACTAGTACAACATCCGTGTACTACACGTGTGCTTGTTAAAAAATTATTCTTAAATTTTAAAATTAATGAGAAAAATTGTTTTAATTTTTATTTACTTTTTTACAAAAAAGATATGATTATATATTTTAGAATGATACTTGTTACTTGTGCGACTTACATTACATGTGTTATAGTGTAGTAATTTTGGTAATTTATATCATATAACTACTTGAAATATAAATATCTTAATTGATAAATAATTTTATTTTTTCTAATTAATATTAAAAAATAATTTTATTATTGTTATAAACATAAATATAATTTCATATACGTACAATATGAATGTTAAATCGAAGCTCATCAAGAGATGATTAATTTGATATATTATATGTGTAAAATTGATAAAAATTACAAAAGTTATTAACTTTTAAAATACATTTACAATTCAAGGGCTGTAATAAGAAATGATATTAAAATGTAATTAATACATGTGACATTACCATAAATAATCAATATATTTATGGATAATCCGGACCTAATTGTTTTTGGATTAGAAGTAAATTAAAATCTACTCAAGCCTAATAACAAAGTGTGTGATTTTGCCACATATGATCCCGAAGCATGCGAGTCTGTCACTTAGATTCAGGACGTTCTGAATTAATATATAGGGGGATATGCAACAAACTGGAGACATAAGACTAATCCTAGACACTGACACAAGACCTAGGTAGAAGTACCCTTATTCTCGAAGAATCAGTTTTCCATGGCATGCATTGAGCTCCATCCAATCCTACACAGCTGCCTTCAAAAATCGGTCCCGTGTTTAGGTTAAGAAAATCTGCACACATATATAATTTTACCTTTGTTTATGATGAGGGAAAAATATCGATTTGTTTAGTCACACGATACATGATTTCATAAAGTATAGGGACAAAAGTGGTCCAAAGTCCATAAAAGCCCAATGCCAAAACTAAAGTTTCACTATAAGATGAAGCCCAACGTCAAAAGATACTTATTCAAATTCATAGCCTCTCAAGTCGATCTCAGGAATCCATTTGCACAAAGGTAAAATCTAGGTCAAACTAAAGGACAGCTTCACTAACACTCATGCTGCCACTCAGACCCCAAACTAATTTAGACTTAAGAATATCGAATCTTGGGGTCAAAACCAGGGCTTTTTTTTATAGGCATTCGCCTCAGTGCATCTTCGATGTCACAAGCATATATATAATTGTACCTGTCACCGTAATATATATGATTGTACCTGTCAGTTTTTCGAAAACATCACGAAATTGTACCTGTCACCATAATATATATGATTGTATCTGTGACTTTTGGCTTCAACCTCATTTGCAATGTTCTCTCTTGCCACTGGACACATCTCGTGGTTATTATACACATGATCCGCAAGCACCCGAAACTCGCAGTTGGCATCCGCTATCACATCCAGGTAGCTCTGTACATAGTCCAAAACCCCCTAGGGAATTCTTTCATGATATAAAAATTGTAATATATTTGTGGGCCTAGTCTCTGCAATATTGGAATAATTTCATTATATAAATAATTTAGTTAACCTTAAGATAAAACAAAAAAAAAAATTACCTTTTGACTCTTGCGAAGGAAGAGAAGACGAGCTTGTCGGGGCACAAGAAGAACTGTTCTTGCGCCGAGTCGACCGACCTTTGTCCCTGTACTCCCATTTGGATGGTTCACGCTTGGTCGAATTGGTCTTTTTGGGCCGACCTCTCGGATTTTCCTTCACTGCAGGTTCTGTATAACCTTGTTGGTCAGGGTGAAGGTGAGCGTAGATGAGGTGATTCACGCTTTGCGACGTCACAATATCAGCCTGAACCTCGTTGACAAGGTTTCGAGAAAACTGCTCATCTGCCCATCCACTCCAACTCTCGACACCAGTCCCTATAAGATAAAAAATTCAAAGAATTGCACTAAAAATTGAAACAAAAACTAGAAAAAATCTATTATGTACATGCAATTTAAATAAATGCTATAAATTTATCAATCTCGCAATTATACCTGACTCATCTAACACCTCAAGTGTGCGCCAGAACCTGTGGACATCGTCGACCTTAATCGGCACCTTACTAATCTCTATTGTCTTTAGCTGACAGGCACAAAGAAGTCCATGAGTGTTTTTCAGTACACAGCCGCAGCTCGAGTAAACCTCAACGCTCAACCCTCGCATCCACTTAAGCTCAGTATTCAGTAAATCCAAACAGTAATGCGAGACCTGCAGTGACAAGTACGCGAAATAAAATCCAGTAAACTGCACATTCGCCTAAGTCGTGAAGCCTCCAGCGTGGACCTACTAACATTAGATACAATGAAATTCACAATGAATGCAGTACAGTACATATTAGCCGCTTAATAAATGTACTTGACTTCAGTCAATTGAGACTCAATCTCCTTATCAACCTTCACCCACTCTGTATCGAGCAAACCGGTCAACGTGTTAAGCCACTGCTTCAACACAGCGTGGGCACTCTCCACCCTACAAGAAGTTGTGTTGCCGAAATGGGTAACCCAATTCGTCCACGCTTTCACAATCTTTTCCTTGTAGATTAACCAGGTGTTCTCCAAATATTCTATCACTTTGGGAAACTTCTTGTACCGAACATACAGGTCACTTACAGTGTCGTATTCAGCCTCCGTAGCTGCTTCTACAATCTTCTTCCACCTGCCATGCGCGAAATTCTGAGCGAAGCCCTTATTTTTGCCAAAGATTCGATAGGCTCTTTCTTCCACATCCTTGTTAATGTGCCACGTGTAAAGTAACTTGGCAGATTGTGGAAAATTCCTCCGAATAGGAGTGATCAAGCCCAACTCCTTATCAGTGACAATGGCATTAGGATGTAAATCAGACCACCCTAACAAACATCTCAAACACTGCAGAACCCAGTTGTAGCTATATTCGCTCTCGTCCTTGATGAGTGCATATGCAATTAAGAAATTCTTGTTGCACGATGTCATCCCAATAAATTCCACCAACGGCATCTTGTACCTGTGCAAATGAGAGCAACAAGATGAAACATAAAATCAAAATAATTCCTCAAACATACTAATTAAGATTAATACTTAATATACTTGTTGGTTTTGTATGTCGAATCTATACCGATGTACAAAAATTGCTGCCGGTTTTGCCTGTGCAGCAGTCATGTCACGGATAATATCTTTAGATGAAGCGCTAAGTCCTCATCTGTCGATGGCCCTTAGGATATACAGCCAAAGAATGATTATGTTGTCCCTTATCAACATCACGATATACACGGATTATCCAAGATTTACATCCTGCCATCTTTTTCGCTGTTATCTGAAAACGACAACCGCACGCTTTAGTTTTTGAACGTCTCATGACAGCCTTATCTAAATCTCCAAAACTTACTCTGTAACGTTTCCCTCGCTTACACCTCAAGATCTTCAGCTTTCCTTCTTTAGTGTGTTTAGAGATGACCAATTCAAAACCATGCATGTTTGCCACTTCTTTTGCCCATTTAATAGCTTCTACATCACTATCAAATAGTTTGTCTATTTTGAAAGCAGGATTGTAATCAATACCGTCTCTTCCAAAATCTTCCAATGACTGTTGCAATATATTAAGGTGTTAATAATTTTACAAGATAATCAGTTATAACTTATCTAACGCATAATAATTTTTAATTTCTAACATAATACTAATAAATTCTAATTTATAAGATAATCAATTATAATCTATAATTTCTAACATAACAATTTCTAATCTATAACATAATAATAATAAATTTCTAACATAATAGTAATAAATTCTAATCTAAAATTATAAGATAATCAATCTTGTTCTATCTGAAACATAAAAATTTTTAACTTCTAGCATAATAATAATAAATTTCTAAGTTCTATTTATAACATATTAATTCTACACATATAATTTTTTTTCTAAGTTTTATGTTTTAATTTATAAGATAATCAATTAAATTTTATAACAATAATAAATTGAACTAATATTTTTTAACCGACCGTCTGGTCGAAAAAATCAGACTGGGCGCCGTCGACCGGCCGGCGATCTGTCGGACGTAGACCGCTCTGTCCGAAGACGCCGGCCGGACGACACCTCCTCTGTCCGGTTTTTCTGACCGGAAAACGCACCTCGTCGGAAGACATTTTTTCGCCGGAAATTGCCTCGTCAGAGAGAAATTTTAATTTTCTGAAGCTTTTGGAAAAATGACAGTAGCAAAATCGTCCAGGAGGAGTGGTACATAGTAATAGAGGGAACAATAATTAGTAACACTCAACTCATAAGTTGGACGACTGGCTTTCGTATGTCCGCCTTGCCGCAGCTCCTCGCACCACACCACAACTCACGCCACGGAAACGCCCTTTAATCACTAAAACGACTGGATTTCGTATGTCCGCCTTGCCTCAGCTCCTCGCACCACACCACAACTCACGCCACGGAAACGCCCTTTAATCACTAAACGATACAATTGCATAAAATACTACTGTCCTAAAATATACATATATCTATTTTCATATAATTTTGCATCAGAGCATGAAAGATTAGAAAAGACGTCATCATCATACTGATTTGTTTTTCTCTTTTTTCATCCTCCCACAATCAAGATCCGCATCATCCCCAACACAGCACAATAGTAAACACGTCCACATATCCATTTGTTTCCAGTTTATAACCTCACAAGGCCTCGATTAATCAGAGGTAGCATACAAAAATGTCAACTCATAACCAAGTCAGTGCCTCAAAAAATCTACATAAAACCATCAATTTCCCCATCCAAAACCGATCCCTGTCTGAACTCACATACTAAAACTGTTTCGACCACGTTTTGTAAATATATAATACACAACAAACTCAACAAAACAAACATATTGTTTCTATGTTCCTGCCACGTACACTTTCTCAACGGGCTCTTCTTCCATTTTTATGATGAACTTTAAAAACCAGCCCATCCTGCAGGCTGGGCCTCAAACTTACTCTCGGTGCTCTTTGATTCACCACCAAAACCCTGAGAATTATTGAACCCGCCAGTGTTTATCTTAGAACTAGCGGCAGGTGCTACCTTAAAAGTGTCGGTAGCAAATCCCAGAGAAGTGGCACCTTCGGCAACTTGATTTTTATGCTGCTGACTGTTTTTGGTTCTGACTGACTTTGGAGGAGTTTCTGCTGCCACAGTTTGTGGCTTGGGATTATCAGCAAATGTCTGCCACTGTTTAGAATCCGGGCTTGGAGACCCTCCACGGCCAAACAAGCCCTGTTGGAGTTCCCAAACAGTTCCTTCAATCTTCACATTCTGCTTTCATAAGAGGAGAAACATGAAACAAGGAAACAGTTATCTACATAAACTAAAACATGGATAATCAGTGTTTATTAGGTAGCCTAGAGGTTTGAATAAATTATTTGCCAAAAACAAAAATACAGTTCAGAATGACAAGAGATACCCCTGAGATTTTGCTTTGCCTTACATTTACCACCGACCTAGGCAAAAAAGATGTCTTCACATACATCAAAAAATATAATAATAAAGCCCATCAATATTAACACCAAATCAGTTCTCAGGGGTATAAATCAAACAACTTTATCCCTGGGGTTTACCCTTAAAAAAACGATAATGTATAAATGAAAATCTTTAAAAAAGTTCAACTCTTTCGAAGTTAGAAATCTCTTGAAAATTGTTTCTAATTAAAAGATTTCGCCTAGAGACATGCGAGTATTCCGTATCACTTTCCATTAATGCAAAACTCAAGGGGTCTATTATTCGTAATTTTCAATGATAAACAGAAGGAATTTGTAATCAGGGTAAAACGGTCGTTATCTGATAATTGTTTAGACGTATTAACATGAATCGAAAGCTCCAACTACATAAAAGTATACCGATTCACCAGAAGACGGGTTGCTTCCAGGAGAGGGCAGGTTTCTAGAATAAGATTCCCTGCTTGGTGATGGAGTTCTAGCCGCTAGAGCTAGCTTAAGGTCTTGTATCTCTTGCCTTTGTGACCTACAAATTGCTGAAAGCTTTTCATATTTGGAGGTTACTTCGGCCTTCTCCACATTCACATGCACAAGCTGGTCCTTCAGCTTTTCCACCTCAGCCTGCAATGTTTCTTCCTTGTCCAGTTTCGGACAGTTGTCTACGGGATTCTGTTCAGTAGTTGAACTGAATACAGAAATAAAAGCATTATACGCATCATTTTGTTGAACGGCTGGGGTGGCGTCTTGTTTGGGTTGTTTTGATCTTTCGGTATTATTAGCATTGTCCGGAAAGAGATTTGAGTTGTTTGTTAGGCCACCACTCAGCCTGCTGACCGGTCTGCCTTGCGCGTTCTTCTGAACATGAGATTGAAAATTCTGCTCCTTTTGGATAGTCATCTGAGAACCTGTATGCCGATTGAGACAGGTCATCTCGTTTGCAGATGATTTCTGATTGGTCAAGTCTCCATATTTTGGCAGGGTTTTTTCCTCCCTGGTTTCTGAAATTTTTGCATGCTGAGTGGTCCAAAAAGCACCAAGAGGACCAGGGTTATTACTTCCTCTTAAATTACTCGAAGCTGATGACACGTTTCGGGGTGCTTCGGATGAGGGTGGAGAAGGGGGATTCCTACGAGGCATTGGACTAGGCTTGTTTGAAGGCTTTGGCGTGCCTGCAGGTAGTGAGCAATTAAATTTAACATTAAATGATATTTTTCGATATTTTTCTTATTTTCCTTTTGATGTTATGTGCATGAATCGCTAGCAGATGTACGACCACCTTCAATTTGAATAAAATCACAATTCGACAATAATTTCAAAATCTTCACCTGCAAGCATATCAGTACCATGTTGTGGCATTTCGGGAGGGCTATCAGGTAGCGGTTTCTGCATCCCAGCAGGCAAAAGATCATTAAGACGAAACCACACCTGAAAAAAAAGGAACAAATCAGAGTTACTAAGCATACATTCCAAATTTAGCCCTCATTATTGATGGGCGCAAAACACTACAACTAACCTAAATTCATCGAGATGAATGGCCAATCAAGCAAAATGCTTGCCTGCGTGATATCTGGTCTGTCATCAGGGGACGAATGAAGCATATCCTGGATGAGATCCGTCAGCAATTTATTGTATTTGGGTAAATCTGGTATTCGATAGTTCCCGTTTAGTATTTGGAGCTTTGACTCACCATCGAATGCAGACTTCAAATAACATATGCGGAATAAGAGACACCCAATCGCCTGTACGCAATATCAAGCATTCACCAACTTCACACAAGATATGTACTAACTGAATATTTGTTTAGTCGAAGTAATACCGGAAGAGGTCAACTTACCCATATATCTACCTTCTCGTTTATAAGATCTCTTCGGAACAGATCCCACATCTAAGGCATTGAATGAGAGATAAAAGACTTAAAAATTATACCATAAAAAGAGTAACAAGATCTCAATAGAAAATCCGTCATTTACCTCAGGAGCTCTATATGCAGGTGTCGTGTGTTTCCTTATGTTGTCTTCCTCAATTCCCATTTCTTCAGGTTTCTCAAAGCGTTTATGGTTAGTAGAAGTGCTGCCGAAATCACACAACTTCCACGAGCCATCAGACCCCAGCAAAAGATTCTCAGCCTTCAAATCTCTATAAGAAAATAAGTCAAATGAGGATAAAAATAAATTCAAACCTTTGTGACAGAGAAATAAGGGCACACACAGAGACAAATTTTACTTTACCAAAATTTAAAGAATGTTTAGTACTTTTATTTTGGTTGGGATGGAATATACTAGAAAAGACTTTGCAGACATGCTAAAACACTAGATACTACAACTGAAAGTCCACAAGTTTCCATAATAAACTCCAGACACAAACAGCAGAAGTAATATGTAAAATGTCTGCATACGTTATTACATCGAAAGCTGCCAAGTTAATGCTTTGCAATTTGATGAGTCTAGGTCCTTCAATCAGTCCAGAAATATGTGCAAAAGGAAATAAACAGGAGCACGTCGTGTGACAACATAAAAGGCGCCTACAGGTGACACTATAATGCGAATAATCTTCACACCAAAGAAGATACAGTACGGTGTACCTATGAGCAATAGGCGGTTTCTGGCAGTGCATTGCAAAGACAGCATTGCATATATCTCTGAAAATTGCTAGGACCTGCTTCTCCTCAAAGAATCCGGCTCCTCCTCTGCTATCCAGAACATTTACCAGGGACTTCTCACAGTATTCCATGAGTAGGAGAGCCTCTGTAGTGCGACCCATATCAAAGATAGCATGGGCATGCAGTGTGACAATATTAGGATGCCCTTTGAGAGATTTCATTACTGAAATCTCCTTAATCACTAATTCTTGCGACTCTTCATCACTACATATGATGTGCTTTAATGCATACTGCTTGGAACCATGTAAAGCGTCTCGAGCTAAGTAAACGCATGAGAATCCACCCTCTGCAATGGGATTTCGAACCTGAACATTAAAATTGCCAATGTCAATGACGCGGCCTTCAAGACCAGTTTGTTCTTTATGCGCAAATGGTTTGAATCTCCACATGGTTGGGGTGATTCCCCACAATTGCGGAACACTGCATATGTGAGTTAAATTATACAAAATAGTTAGCATATGCAGTTTCTAGTTTCAGTGCCAAAACAAACACAAACATTTGAATAGAGACTGAAGATCAAACTTAATCTGACTAATACTAACAAAGGTTGCAGCTTGCAATTACTACCACATTCCAATTTACTCATGGATCAAGATATCTCCAAGAATCCACTAAGAAGAATGTCACATTTGTATAAGCAGTTAAAGTAAAAATGACGAGTTTGAAATGAAGTGGTACAAAACGTAGATCCTGTCATATTGCACCTAGAGTTATCCCTGCATTTGAGCCTGAGACATTAACAAAGTGGTGAGATCATAAACAACATAACTAGAACCATATGATTGTTCCAGATTTATCTACATGGGAACAATTGGGAACCATGGACTGTCCTAGTTCTCCTTCTAAATGCAGTCTTAAAGACATTAACATCTCGAACATCAGATGCTTAGAATTATAGCGAAACAGTTGTAATCAATTTTAATATAATGGATCATCCATCATCTACAAGATAAATTGTGAATAGCAGCGCATAGGCAAAGATGACTAAGCTTCTCTACATCATCAGACTAAAAGAGAAAATCAAAAGATTGCACATTAAATACGGGGATTCATGGCATCCAAAAATAAATCCTTAACAACTAAGAAGACTAGAAGGAAATAGTAAAAATCACAACGAACTAAGGCTCAAAATTTGCTGCTAGGTATAAAAAATAGTTTTGGTCTGAATGAGTGCTTTCTAAGAAAACATCAGTTCATGCTATCTTCACTCTTTAGATATATATGATTCTGCGGAATTGAAAATTTTCAGTTCGCTTTGGCTTAACCAGATATATTAAGTAATGAATTACTCGCCTATCTAGTAGGTAAACTTTTAGATGAGGCAGACACTCCATGATAGAGACCTCAGCTATATAAGGTAAAAGGGCTTTTAAGTTAAATTATCATTTCCTGAGGCGCAGTAGATAAATTTAGTAGCAACTAATCCTCAATCTGTCTATGGCAGTTTAAGCTTTCGAGCAAGTCTGTATCAACCGAAATTTCCATCACCAATCCTACTACTTTGTCCAGAAAAGATGACCACGATAGTAAATACTCAAAATGTAATTAGATCCACACATGTTAATACATCTTCAACCGCCCCAACCAAGCCACTAACAAAAAAAGTTGCCAAAACCACCTTCACCAGAAATCCTAATGTTTATGTTCATTAATGCGCAGATCCAGACATAATATACCTATCAGAAAACATAATTATTGATCTGACCACTACAAAAGCCCATCCCAAGAGATTTTAAGACCAAAAGCTCAACCTTTTTCATTCTCGATGCACAAGAAGACAAAGGTCGAGAAATACAAACCTTCAAACTACCTTTACCAAGTCAAAAACAGTAGTTGTGATGGAAAATTTAAAGGTGATGGCAGTGGAAATATGATGGAGGTAGCCGATGCCAGTTACAGCCGAGGATGATGATAAACAAGATATCAGCTAAAGTAAGATCTGATTACAGAAACTATAGGCCAAAATGCAGTAAATACATTGATTCGCGAGATCCTGATATCTATTCAACTGAGCGATAAACATCATTATAACAACTTATATTCTGAAATCCTAACACCAGGAGAGATTCATGTACCTTGAACGAGAAGAGTCGATCTGAAATTCAGCTCCTATCGATCGGACGAGATCTGAGGAAATGGTATTGGATTTAAAGAATTTTTTGAGAGAGGATTAGTGAGTGCAAAAGTATAAAAATCGAGCGAGAAATGGGTAATCATTTTGTGGGAGTTGGTACTTGGGAGTTGGGACTGTTTCATAAAAAGGCGCGTTAATCACGTTAGCGCTTTGTTTGTATTTTGCTGCTCTTTTTTCCTACAGACTAATGTGCATTTTGCTTTCGGCTAATCACGTCTGGGAGCTCATTTGGGAAAAAAGAGTTTTNCCGCCTATAGCACTGTATTGCCTAAGTGTAATTTAATTTGCTTTTTTCAAAAGAAAAAAAAAAGAAAGAAAATAGTGGTTGTCAAATGGGATTAATCGAATGTATGGTTCACGTAGGCAATTACCTGTTGTAGGCGATCATAGGACCGAAACGCTAATTTTTTTCCACTTAAATGACCAAAATTCAAAATTGGACACTTTAGGGAATAAAAAAAAATGTCAGCTAAGGGATTAAGAAATTCTTTTTGTCCCCACATATTATATTTGGCAACTTTATTTGAATTATTATTTTTTAACAAAAAAGTTTGAGATAATGAGAATAAAGTTGAACTAGTAGTTACCAAAGCACGTCATTACTCATTTCTCTCTTCACTAATACTCTTCATTTTCACCTTATACAAAAGACATCCCTTTCTTAATTTCTTGTTTTGGCTTTAAATCCCTAGACTTTCTTCGTCAATCTCCTGGATATTGTGTTGCACAAGACTGATGGGTACATTTTAGTCCTTTTTCTGAATACTCTTTTTCTTTAAAACCTCGATCTGCTCATCTGCATCTTTCTCTCCCTCTATTCTTTTTCGAAAACTTCTGAGGTCGCCTTTTAGCTTTCTTCTTCCCCTTTTTGCTATGCCTTGGAGCTTCTTTTCCTCAAAATCGTTTGAATGTCATGATCGAAAACTATTCAATCCTTCAGGCCACTCCTCTTGCCGTCATCCCAGTATCTTCTCAGCGGCCCCCCGAAGTGACTGTCACCGAAGGCTCTCAAGCTCTTCTTTCTTATAACTTCGTACAGGTTGCAAGACCTATCCCTTTATCCATCTCGCCAGGTACTGACCTAGAATATTTCAAGCATTCATATGAGTTTCCTCGATCTTGGAAGCTTCAGCTTCCTAGGGCTGGAGATTGTTTTGCCAAGCCCCCCGAGGGCTTTTACTTTTACCTCTTCTTCGCAGAACAAGAGGTGAATGAACAAGTTGTCTGCCTCCTTTGTTCAACGAGAATCATACAAGCACTCATCCTGCATTTGTTCGACTCCAAGTCGAGGCGTATTAAATTTTCTTGTTCAATGTAGTATGAGACAAAGGATAATGTCGGTTGGTTTGGTTGAAGCAAAATATAATACAAATACTTCACTTATATCGAGACATTGAATATTCTCTTGAAAATAACTCCAAAACACAAAAACAAAATATGTCAATTCATTGCACATCCTAACAACAATTTACAGTGACAAGACAATTAAAGATGTATATGATAAATAATGAAAATTAAGACCCAAACACACATCTTTCGAGCATGGGAATAATATCTACCTTACAGATATTTTATTCTCATTCTCGAAAAGCCAAGGCAGATTCTACTTTTCAGTACAAAACAAAAATTCTAAAAAAAAAATAGGCACCGAACATCATTGAACAAACCGCCATAAATGGTGAATATGATTGCACTTCATATAACCAGACATGAGAGGAGATACTGTTCGAAGAACAACATCAAATTAGGGCACATAAAAGAGACGTCTAATTTGGCTTAACTTAGGTGTTGTTTGTTTATGAAATTTTTAGACCCAAAAATCCATCCCAAATTTTCCACCGAAGCATGGGCCTGGGACATGCGCCCTGTTGATATCAAATCCAGTAATAGAGATTGAAGATAGAAATTAATTGAATTATTGAAGTATTACAAGTCGGAATATATTAAGAGCAAATTACCGACTTCTGAAGAATTACCGATTTCCGAACATCCAACTTCTGAAAGACCTTCAAAAGAATCGAAACCGACTTCAGGTCAACCGACTATCACAGAGTTGAATATTCCAACAGAAAGTAATCATTAGAAGCATCTGATTGGACCAACGAAACAAAAAGGCAATCATTGATGTTTCCCGCCGCTTCAAGAGAAGTAGCTCGACATTAAATGCGCCTTTATCCATTTCGAGCAAGAAGACAAAGGCCACCGTACTATAAATAGCAGAATTTATGATAGTACGAGGATCTTTTTGAACACATTGTACACGAACATAAAATGATCTCGGTTTTCAGCTTAAAACCGACTTCTGTACTCGTGAACATAATCAATAAAATCCAATAAAACTTTTATCCTCATTTTCTTAACATCAACTGTGTTTAATTTTAAGTTGTTAATTCAAGACAACAACAGTTTGGCGCTAGAAGGAGGGCCACCTTCGTTTTGATTGTTTGTCTTGTAATAACACACAAAAAGGATGTCGAATTCTGGACGAAATGAACGTAATCCAGATGCTGGGAACAATCGTCATCCAACTCATACAACTGGAACTTCTGCCGTGCCATCTGCGTCAATTGATTATTCAGCCTTATTTCAAGATCCAGAGTTCTTGAAAAATTTAACTGATTTTATGGCACGGACAAGAATAGAATCAACCGCGGCGGTTAATCCTCAAACTCATTCAACCCCAGTTCCACGAAGAAATAATATCCCTGCAACATCACATGCAACTTCCCATCCACGTACACATGAATCACAACATGATGCTACAACTCAAAATCGTGGGGTAGTTCCGGTACAAACTCGAGTTCCAGAACCAGTGCGATCAGAAGCAACTGCAGAAAGCCATTCTGGACATCGACCACGACAGCCTACTCCGTCGTTACCAGAAATATCACGACATGATCAACCTTCTGATTTACGACATACTCTTGAACAAAATCATGTTCGTCGTGGGCAGAATGAGTTACGTCGTTTAATCGAAAGAAATCGCCAAAGACGCGAATCAGAAGAGTTAGAAATGCTGAGGAAAAGAATTGCTGAGCTAGAGACTTGCCAAGACGAACACGGAGAACCACCACGACGAATTCCAATGACAGAAGAAACGTATCAAGAAGTTGGAACTCCTTTAGCCCCTCATTTGACTAGAGAGCCTATTCCAATTAAAGTAAAAGTTCCACAAATTGGTTTGTATGATGGAACTTCCGATCCTGATGCTCATCTTGGTCAGTACACATCTTGGATGGACCTTCATGGAGCAAATGAAGCACTCAAATGTCGGATGTTTTCCTTAACTCTGGGACCACGAGCCCAAAAATGGTATCATTCTCTATCTCGGTATTCAATCTCCACATGGCAGCAATTGAGAACGGCTTTTCGCTCTCATTTTATTGGGGCCCGAGTTTCCTTAATTCCCAAAGAATCGATCGCGAATATCGTACAAAAAGATGATGAAAGTGTGAAAGATTATATTACTCGGTTCAACGAACGCATACAAAATATGGAGCAATGTCATCCTGAAACGCTATTGGTCACAGCCATAGCCGGATTGAAGCCAAACTCGTTGTTCCGATGGAGTATATGTCAGAATATACCGACTTCATTCCAAGACTTTTTAGCTCGGGCTCAACAGCATATTTTAGCTGAAGAATCAATGTCGATTCCTAATATCGACTTTTCCTCGTTAAAGTCGGAAGTCGGGCAAGAGTCGAAAAAGAAGAAAAGCAAATTCTTTAAACCGAATAAATCTCGATTTGGGAATCCAAAGATCCCTGAAGTGCAAGAAGCCAGAACTAAATACCTTAATGAAGTCAAATCTAGCTACCAAACAGTATTCTCGGCGGGAGCAGCAACCATATTTGAAGAATTAAAAGGGAAAGGGATCCTTCCTGACCCACGACCTGTTAGAACTCCCGAAGAAAAACTTGACAAAACGAGATACTGTTCATATCATAAGTCGGCAGGTCATAACACTGATGAATGCCTCGGTTTACTTTCTGCCTTGTTACGACTTATTGGACATCCTCAAGTCCAAAGATTTGCCAAGAACGTTGATTACAAACGAAAAGGAAGAATGCCTGATTTGCCAGACGATGAAGACGATGAAGAACGTCCAATTAATCCAAAACGGGTGAGATCAAGTGAGAAAGAAATATACATGATGAATCAAGGAGAAAGAGATTCGACTGAAACGATGTATCGAGGAGGATATTATAATCCTGACAATTCACACTATATACCTCGGGTCAATAACAGCAGCAATGCAACGTCTGAATCACGGAGGCAAATAAAAGCGTATGCTCGAAAAGCTTTTAACTCGGGTAAAACTGTTTTGGCGACCGACCTCCGAGATAAAATTAATGCTCGAAATAATTGTCCAATAACATTCAATGTGGATGATGCTAGTTACTTTGCTCACCCTCATGCTGATCCCTTAATCATCACGGCACCCATCTGTGGAATACCGATACATCGTATGTTGGTGGACACCGGAGCATATTCAAGTATCATGATGTTACGTACGTTTGAACAAATGGGAATCGATCCAGCCGAGTTAAAACCCTGTAAGGATCAAGTACAAGGTTTTAATGGAACAATAACATCAACCCTTGGTGAAATTACTATGCCAATTCGGTTCGAAATTCCTGGACAAGCGTCCAAAGTCATTATGGAGACATTTAAGGTGATGGATCTTAAAAATCAATATAATGTCATCATTGGGAGGACTGCTTTATATAAGCTTCGTGCAGCTGTATCAATATTTCATTATGCTTTGAAATTTCCCACCAATAATGGGGAAGGAACTCATTACGGAGATCAATATGAAGCTCGTGGAATGGTTTGGGTCAAACCTTGGCATGAACCCTGTATGCCCGTATATATGATGGAGAATATTGAAAGTCGAGAAGATTTAACACTCATCAACTCGGAATCATATAATACCGAGATGGAACTTGATCCAGCGAAATCAAATAACGATCTGATTTGTGATCGTGGGAGACGTCCTGGAAAAGAACCAATTAAAGAAGAAGATGCACTTGATCCTCGAATTCAATTTAAGGAGAAAAGCAAGCTTGAACGAGCTGAACCATCAGAAGAGGTTGAGGTAATATTCATAGATGATCCTGTTTGTCATAAGTCGGTGCAAATTGGGGCCAATCTTCAAGAACCAATACGAACTCGGCTCATTCAATTCCTCAAAGCCAATTCCGACG